CTCAGTATTTTTCTCAGGAGCAAGTTGAAGAATGATAATAATTTTTTTATATAGACTTCTATTGTTAGTGTGTATATACCACCCAACCAGTTTTGTTGTGGATACAGTGCTGCCGTTTGCGGTCAGGTTCATAACCTTTCCGCCTTATTTATTGTAGCCCCAAAACCCGAGTTCTTATTGGAGATCCCAGTCGCTATTCTATATTTCAAAATTAGTGTAGATATATTTCCAATTCGTAATTATTAAAGAATGACATGTATCAATAGTAACATACTTTTGATAAGGTATTGAAAATAATTCTGTTTCTTTGTTTTACCTATTCGCCACTTGTTTTATTTTTCATCAGTTTTCTTTGATTCATTGTAACACTTGAAGCTACTTGCCTACACCCCAATATCACAATGGACCCACTCTCCAACTTGAATCTATCAGAGAATGACAAAATAAATCAATAACAGCATCACATTTTAATTAGTTTACTTGTCTAGGGTACTTAAAATAATTTTTACTTTTGTAGCAATAAGAAGTATTATTCTGAGGTATTTTTCTTTTTTTTTTTTTTTTTTTGTTGCAATAAGTAACAAAAAAATGAAACCACATAACCTAACTTTTATATTTGTTTTCGTAGATTTTTCTAATATGTATAAGTATAATATACATGTGTATAAATATAAATTATAGAATGTCAGAATGGAAAGTAAAATAGGGAGATAAATAATCGGGAATATTCCATGGACATAACAAAGGAGAGCACTACGTGGCTGTCAGGAAATTTGTTGCATTAACACCTAGGCCAGGAGCAGAACACAGTCGCTAATAATGAAATTTGTTCAGCTGAGACTCAACGGACTTGTCAATACGCGGAGAATTAAATCGACGTACTTTCCTTTGCTCGTACATTATCTTCGAGTGCGGCTGTTTGCTGAACGGAGACGTCACACGAGGTATAATTGGAAAGTTGAAATGGAAACGTTCCGATCGATGAATGTCCCTATTGTTCACGCAATACGGTGGCCGTTGGAACGCGAGCCAGAATCGCTGGCAACAAATTGAATAAAACAGGGAATAAAATGACAGAAACTCAATGACTCTACCTATATATGCACTTGTTAGGACATGTGAAATTGTCACTTTAAATGAAACTTTAACCATACCTTGCATTCCTTTAAAACGACGCATATTTCATCAGAATAAATTTTCCATCATTCTTTACACATTTCTCAACAATTAAAAACCCTCATTATTTTAATATTTAAAAGATTCTTCCAAGACTACTTTTAAAGCTTTGTTCTGAAACGATTTATTTACTGGAAAAAATATCTTGATCTTTAAAAGATATAGATATAAAGAAACCATATTGTACCTGTACGAGATAACGAAATGCGTAGATACTTTTAAAGCTGTTTCGCATGACCATACGTTTATCGCAATATTCGTATGATGGATACTGATAGTACTACGGATTGCTCAAAAGATGTCTCGTGAAGCGACACAAGGGTGAAAGGAATAGTCCGCTCGTATTTAATTCGTCTTCGAAGCCTCCAAAGAAACACTGCCCTTGGCAACACTGATATTTCGGCCGATATGGAATGTACATGTGCCCCGTTTCTTTATGATTGGTTAGCAAAGGTGGAACTATCGAAATGTAACCAATCAGAGTCGCAGTCCTTCCACTACTCTTCTATGCATTATATATACATGTATTGTCTATAGTGGCATTCACACCCTCCCGAAATACGATATCGCGACACTGATTTTCGGTATCCTCGATCAGTCTACCGTTGGCGACTTTGTTTACATTCGAACGTCCGACGAAACGTAGAAACAAATCGAATCATTCAAACGGCAGCTGCAGTGCTGCACAGTTCGACCATGGCACGATTCGCGTTGTACGTATCGTCGTGTAAAGGAGTTCTTAGGTCTCGTATATTGTAAGATAAGGTACATCGACAATCTTTTTATCTTATGTTGAATTGTTAATACTGATCTTACATGATTCTATTTTTAGATATACCACTCTTGAGTAATAAATTTCGTGTGCCACATTTTTATGATTGTATTAAGGGAGGTGCTACTATTACACAATGACAAGACTAACATTGTTATACATATACTTACCAATACAATGTGTACACAGTAAGCATACCGTAAGCTATAAGTTTCTACAAATTCATTATTTTTACAGTCATAAAATAAAATCTAATGATAAGTCTAAAGACTAATAAAATTATAACAGAAATTCGTTGAGGATCATTCGAGAGCGTGAAGTCAAAGTAGCACAAAGCGAAGAATTAACACAAGAAACTCAGGTATGCCATTATTACGGTGTACAAAGAGGGCATTTCATTAAGAGAAATCGCGAGAAAATTGGGTATTTCGTACAATGGAGAACGCTTGACGGTGAAACGTTTTCGAGGAGCCAACGTCGTTTGGTTAAAATTAAACGCACACTATGCAACGTTGCGAATTGCTAGAAAAGAAAAGGAAGGAATAGCGGATATCAGAATTGTTTCCAAAAGAGAAATCGGCTCCTTGAGACACCGGAGAATTGAAGCAGAAATCAGTGATGATAAGGGGAAAAATAATTCGGTATCGATCACTACGGTAAAAAAAGCTCGTTATTCGTTCTTAATGCTGGTATATAGTGGTTAATTCGTTTCATTCGTGGATAAAAGATTCGAATAAAGATGAGTTTCGATTGAGGATAATTAAAGATAATTGAGATAAGTCGGTTATATTGATAAATGTGTGTTAAAATTATGGAAATAAGAGCTTGGGTTACTGTGTTGTGCATTACTTAGCAGTATGAATATGTTACAAAAATCTAAGATTATTTTAGAAAAACTTTTATTTTTTCTAAAAAGAATGTATTAGATAAAATCATATCTTCTGTTAGTATATTTGTTACAGATATAAACAGTTATTAATTTTAAATCTATTACGCTGTTGTGCAATTTATTTAATAGAAATATTAAAATAATATTTACAACACACTTTGCAAGTGTAATTGAAATAGACATTACTTGAGAAATAATTTGAATTTATTATAAGCAAGGATAATGGTTGATTTTATTTTAATCAACCTTTTCAATTTATATTTCAAGAGATGGTAATGGAAATACTTGTTTTGGGTTATATTTTAAAGCAATTCTTAGATTACAAAGAATTTGAAATATCAAAAAGAAAAAACTATTATTCCTTAATAATTTTAACGAAGAGTAATAAATATATAGTTCAAATTGTTAGTATCGAGTCGTCCATTACCCCTTGCTTAATAACAGTGCAATGTTGATAAAAATTATGAAAAGTTAAGATGCATACCTTTGAAGGAGACAAGAAGAACCAGTTTCTGTCTAACATCGTATATCCCTGAACAAAACTCGAGGGCCTAATGTTCCTTAAAACATCTCAAATTACATGTTTCGATCCTTGAAGCCTGTAAATTTTAGCTTCTGGTAGATTTTACGACCGCGCTGTATCGATTACACTGACTATACCCGACCTCGCGATGTCCTCGTGAGCTGTTCACGAGCTTCGCCAGAGGGATGGAGCCACCTGCAATTTCCTAGTCAAAGCAGCGAAATTGTCTGTTTGCTTAGCAGACAGTTTTTGTATCATAGCCCTTTGCAACCATATACGAATTGCAACTTATACATTTGTAGATTTATATGTGTATATCATTTCAATTTTTTATACAGAAAATTAGAAATATATTCAAAGGTACAGTTAATAGAATTGAAACAATTATCTAACCATAAGAAAGTTCTCGATTATATAGACTTTCATTTTCTTCTTCTATTCAATTGGAATATTTTATTCTTAAGGATCCTAAATAATACCCAAGCAGCCACAAACCTGGTGGGAAAGTATTAATACCAAGACATTAAGCACTTAATTTGGAAAATTCTGTGTTATGATTATCAAAAGAGAACAATAAAGCCCCCGTTTCTATTCTGTAGAACAAAATCTGTAAAATTAGGAAGACCTAACAACACTCGACTTACCTTAAAATTACCTTGTCCTTTTTTTTAGAGTTCACCGCAGAGACACGCCTATTTGTACACCGTTGCATTCCCTTTCCTCCTTACTCGTCTAATAGGTTAGGTTAGAATTAAACTAACCAATCAGTGTGCTTCTAACCTTGAAATTCATTAGCTCTCATTAGGTCCCTGCTTTAGCTGTCTGAAACATACAAATCAGAAGTCAGACTTATTACCTATTACCTTTCCAAACGCTTACGTATTATTAATTATGACAAAGATATCAACACGAACTATTGCTACCGCTATCGTTTAGTATCATCGGTAAGCCGAAGCGTTCGAAACATCTATCGAACATTAAACTTGTGTTCATCTCTAAATACAATCAAGTCACGGTATCTTTGCTTAATAATTGTGTGCCATCCAAATAATCAGCTGCTCTGTGTTAATTCGATGTGCAGCGTACCGAAACCGTCGTTGTACCACGCAAACGTTGCAATCGCCGTTGCTGTTGGGAATCAGATGTTTGATACCAAATCGGTACATAAATATTTTCTCATACTTAATCGATTTTTAATCCTTTATATCTTTTTATAACTCCAAAATATTTAGACGCTCGTCTGTCTGCATATATTTTAATAATTATTTTGTTCTTTTTCCTTACTATACCATTTTTTTTATTTACTCTTTTTTTACCATTATATCGTTATACCATGAAATAATCCATCTGTGATAGTTACTGGTTTTTTTGCTAAATTTTTTCCTTCGGATGAAAAAGTGTAATCGGTGTTGCAATTTTTTTCCTCTCATGTACAAAGAAAAATCCAATTATAAAGGATTAATGCAGTAACACGTCAACACAATGGAGTCGAGTAATCCTGTTCCCGCTGTTCGAGGATCGTAAAGCAGAAGTGTGTGTCTCCTTTCACTAGACTGTATGATCCGTATCGCGTAACCTGCAATAAGAACAGCTGGTAATTATGTACGTGGAGTTTTCCTAATTTTATGTAATTGTTTCAGACGCTGGACTTCGACAGAGATGGCCTGACGAAGCTGAAGAAAGCGATCAAAGCCATTCACAATTCCGGAAATGGTGAGTGTTATGCCGTTGATTGTACACTGGAAAATTTTTATCAAAGCATGATTAAAAATTAAATTTTTTTTGTATTGTTTTAATCCTTTATTAACATTATGTAACTTGGAAGATATTTTTGAAATATTTTATAGGATAAAAAGGATGCATATTTAACTAAAAAATGAAATAAATAATAATTATTGATAAATATTAATAGTAAATACTAATAATAAATATTAATACACGTAAATACATATTTAATACAAGAATTATATAAGTAACCGGGAAGAGGATGATTCTACGCGAAAAAACAAATCGAAAATAAGGAATAAAATTTTTTCGTTCGAAGCTTCGTTATCGAGAAAATCGACTTTGAATATTCACCGAGTGCGCGTGAACTTAACTCTGACTAAGGCAGGTGGACCACCAGTGGATATTCAAAGTCGATTTTCTCAACAACGAAGCTTCGAATGAAAAAATTTTATTTTTTATTTTTTATTTGTTTTTTTGCATAGAATCACCCCTTACCGATTGTACTATCGTTGCTGGGACATCCGGTATATTTAATGAAAATAAAGTTAAAGTGCTATCAAAATAAGATATATAGCTTCTATCTACAATCATGTAAAATTATTTCTTCGTAACTTGATGTTAGTTCGCTAGTTGAATGTTTAGTAAATTTAGAAGAAAATATCCCTAGATTTTTTTTAGCGAGTATCGTAACTGGAATAGCTTTAATGGCCATAAAATAGGCTCATAAATCCACATGATCATGTTTGTGCATAGTTAATCTGTCTTTTTACATCGTAATAGTTATAGTTCAGCTGGAAAAATCCAAGGAAGATATAGAAAGGAAGGCCATCTACTGTCTTGTTCAAAGAACATGCCAGTAACAAACACGTTACATACAAGGAAATTTATCGTCAGCCTAACCTATACTTACATACCAACTTATGTATATATGTATGTATAAAAGACTCAGCATATCACGAAACACAAATTATTTAGAACTGCAATCACCTCAGAATTAATATAATTTGCACAAGATTTAATTATACAATACAATCAGAATTTAGTCATGGAATATATTTGGAACTTAATCATACTAGAATTCATACCAGGTTTCAATCATTTCAATTTACACATACCCAAGTCGTAATTAGCTATAGTACATAAAGTGTAAATACATACATATATATATGAGTATAATACTACCAACGTCACAATTAATTCATCTATCTCATTCACTTACTCAAAGATTCACAAATAATATATAAAATACGTCTGAAAAATTGTTTATCTGGCTTATTGTGGAATTTAAAATCCTACTTTGGACAAAAAAAGTTTCGAATTTTAAATTAAAAATAATTTTCATTATTTCATCTATTGCAGATTACAGTCATAGGTTAGGTGGTTATGTTAGGTTTACACGTATCAAGAGATCTTGACTTGCATTTCCTTTCTCTTGGTTATTTTATTACTTTTAATCTTAATACTTTAATGCTCAATGAATTCTAACACTTTCGTTGAGATATCTTGCGTAGAAAATTTCGTAATTGCACTGATATTTAATGTACAAAAGTATCGTACCATATCATGAATATACGATTATAATATTTTTCTAGTAAGCAGACAAAGAGAGAATATAATTAATCGAACATTGTAGATCATAATAGAATGAACACGCTTTCAGGGATTAAAAAGTAACTAACAAGACACCAGAACGTATTCTGTTTCTTTTTGTGAGACTGATCGATCACGTGGCCCATATTTGACGCTCCTAAATATAGATGGCCTCAAGGATAACGTTTTACTAAATGTTTTCGTGCGTCTAGGGCGAAGTTATATGGTTATTGCAATAATTGTAATAAATTTGTCCAAAGGAATTAAGAAAAGAAAAAACGGACAAACATAAACATCGTGTGAAAATACATTACGAGAAATTTCGATTCGTCATAAAAATTAATTAAAATTAACCAATTTCAATTTTTATTATTTTTCTTTCAATGAAGGAAATGTGCAAATTGACGTAATAATACAGGGTCATGTTTATGATGTTAAATACGAGACAGGTTGACACAACTCGAAACCAGATAATTATATACAAATATGTAGTCGCTTGTCGAGAATATCGTATTTCAACGTATTTCGTAACCGGAGTGTACAGTTTGTATTTGATATACCAACCTGCTATCAAACAATAAACGTAATTATAAACTTATTAATACGAAAACGTATAATAGAAGCAAATTTAATATCCTGTCGTCGACGATGCTGCTTTTAATTATAATTTCATATACAACTTGCTTGCTACTATTAATCTAAATTAATAGGATAATTTTTTAATAAGACACAAAGAAAAGTAACTAGAAAATTACTAGAAAAATAGGGATGTTCCAATAAAAGATACAATTCTTTTTTTGTGATACAATATTTCTCTTTTTCTTCTTTCTTTATTATCATTAAACTTTGTTTATTGTTTCTTCAAACATTGTACATTTTTTTTTTTAAGTAAAACTAGTTATACTATGAAAAATAAATTTAGCTTTAAAGAATATTTTTTACGTTCTTATGAAAGTGGTTCATACAAAATAAATGTTTTAATAAAGAAATAAAGTTGTAATAAGAAAATAACTGGAAATTAATAGAGAATTAATTATTTATGTCTTGATTTACTCTTTTCTGTTGCAGCCCATGTCGATAACGAGGTGTACCTTGGAAGGGCCCTGGAAAGGCTTGGAGATGCTGCTTTGAAGGAACAGGAACCGGATATCGGTGCTGCTTTCCTGAAGTTTGCGGTTGTCACGAAGGAACTGAGTGCTCTGATGAAGACTCTGGTATGCAAAACTACTTTGTAACGGGGTTTGAAAATAATCATTTATTTTTTGAAAATACTTGAAAATTTCAAATCAATTCAAATTCAAAAATTTGAAAAAATTTGTTATATTTAAATATTAACACGATTAACGTTGAAAAAATATCTAATAAATAAATATAAAATTATAAATATGAATATTGCTTTGATAATTAAATGTTAATTTATTGAATTTTGTGTACTGTGGTTATCAAACTATTTTTATTACATTTTCTTGGTGCAGAGCAAATGCGTTGTTTCTATAATTTTTTGTTTCTAAAAATAAATCATTCTTATTTTCACTTTGTTATTTATCTGTTTATTTATTAAATTATTTATTTATTTATAATGTCACTTTCTTAACAATTCTTTGAATTAATTTCACTGTGTATTTCTTCATCATGGTATAAAAATATCACCTGAAACTAGATCTATTTAAAGTTAATTCAGTTATGTCTAATTTAAATATATATCTTGATTTATATTACCATGATCATTGAAATGTACCAATTGCTTCTTCGAACCTACAATCATGATTTTTTTTATCACCTTGAATGTATTTGTCTGGATACATTAATATTATTTTTTCTTCTATAACTTTATTATAATATAATTTTATATTTTATAATTTATTATATAATTTTAGAATACTAAATTCATTTATCATATATATATATATATATATATAGATTTTAATAATTCTAACTTACAGATGTATCAAAGTTATTATCATTTTCATGATATTACTGATTTATCTAAGCTCACACATTATATTATTCTTCCTTAAAATTATATTCGATTAATTTAGAATCTTCTCGTAATAGATGCAAAACATCAACAACATCGTGATGTTCCCCCTGGACTCGGTGTTAAAGGGGGATTTGCGAGGTGTGAAAGGCGACTTGAAAAGGCCGTTCGAAAAGGCGTGGAAAGATTACGAGGCTAAATACGCGAAAATTGAGAAGGAAAAGAAGCAACACGCAAAAGAGGCTGGCCTCATTCGGACGGAAGTGACGCCGGCCGAGATCGCAGACGAGATGGAGAAGGAAAGAAGATTGTTTCAATTGCAAATGTGCGAGGTGAGGCCCGCGGAACGGATCTGGAACAAGCGATTGTGCACTCTGCTATGTATTTATTACCAGACGATTGCCATAATTTGTGGCACTGATTCTTGTACCCCACGAAACCGCGGGAGGGCACCAGCATCTGAAACGCGTCCTTCCTCAAAAATTAGAGAAAAATAACTTTGATTAAAATATCATTTATAAAACTAAGATCTTAGAAATTTTTTTATCTTAATAATTTTTTGAATGTTTTATTTGAAACTTTGAATTTTCAACTTCTCCTTTTAAGTAAATTCAAAAATACCTTGATTTTGGAATACACGATTGTGTAAATATTGACAATGAATTATATGCCTTATATAAATTAATAGATAGAGGATTTATATAAATTATACTGTACTATAACAAATTTTGTTTACATATTTTTAATAATTTTATTTAAGTTTTAATGTAATAATTTAAATCAAAAATTAATTGATTATCATTATTCGGTAATCACATCCACTATTTATTATTTGCATAAATTAAAGTTCGTTACATTGAAAATTAATCAAATTTTCATTTCCTATTATATTAAAAACTTTTATGAAATTTTTATGAAAATTGCTTAAAAAGATATGCACAATGAACAAATTACGAAATTGAGAAATTGATAAAAAAGATAAGGGAAATATTATGAAAATTACTTAGATGATTTGATAGATGATTTTAAATCGTTATTTGTGTTATCTTTTCTACAGTACCTTATAAAAGTGAACGAGATTAAGACAAAGAAAGGAATTGAACTGCTTCAGCATCTAGTCGAGTATTACCATGCACAAACCAAGTAAGTATATACAATGTTTTATTTTATAACAACATACTTCAAGGAAGGTTGCATTTAACAAAACTAAATTTTCTAATTCTAATTTAAACAAAGATACTATTACTAATTAATAAATTATAATAACTTTGTTAATTTCTATACAACAGTCACAATGTTTAATAATATAAAACAGTTACATACCAAAAATTTCGTCACAACAATTATAAGAGTAAATAATTAATAAATAATTTATTTCCTATATAAATTAAAAATAATCTATTTCAAAACATAAAAGTATCCTTCCTGGAAACAGTTGTTAAATACTCTTATTTTTCAAAATATATTTTACATTATTTTTTCATTTTATAGTTACTTTCAAGACGGCCTAAAAACCATTGAACATTTTGGATCGTACGTGACAGATCTTAGTGTGAAATTACAAAAGATCAGACAAACCCAAGATGAGGAAAGGAGACGGCTAACAGAACTCAGGAACCTCCTTAGAAGCTCAGGTTGCGACAAAGAGGTAAATTATCTATCGTCGTAATTATATAGTACTGTTCTTTCCACAACGTGGTCCACGATAATTCAATGTTATACGATTTTTAGCTAAATGTAAACGCAAATGTTGGGTACTCGCTTCACCAACTGCAAGGGGATAAGCAACACGGTGTTACTAGATCTGGACATCTTCTGAAAAAAAGCGAGGGAAAAATGAGGAGAGTCTGGCAAAAGAGACGGTGTGCAGTTCAAGCTGAAGGTTATCTGGATATCTGTCACGCGGACGAAAATAAACCACCAACGAGAGTGAATTTATTAACCTGTCAAATTAAGCTAGTGCCGGATGACAAACGGGGTTTCGATCTCATTAGTTGTAAGTTGAACTGTTAACCCATTGGCAGTGAGGTCTGTCCGCTGAGATTTAGTTGTTGATAGTAGATATAAAGATACTTGTCTATATTAAACTTAATCCATTTCAGTGTTCAAACTATCTCTCCAAAATAAATTTCTCAAAATGTAAATTAATTTTTGAAAAAAGAAAAAAAAATATATTAGTTTTTAAGCTATTATCTTATCCTCCGTATCAGATGCGTAATTGAAAAAAATAAAAATTGATTACTTTCTGAAATTTAATGTAGATTTTTTTCCTGAGAGAAGTGGAAAAAATAGAAAATAACAATTGTTATAAATAAATCGTTTGAAGAGAGTGTAATGATACTCTACTAAAATAATATACAGCAATAATAGGCATATAAAATGATGGATGATATAAATACATATGTAACTTTTTATTATTTAACATGTATCACTTATCAATATGTTTCATTTTCAGCCAGAATTAAAAATAAATATTAGAATATAAAGATAAAAAGGTATGAAAAAATATATATAGGGAAATTATTTAAAATAAAAATTAAAAAGGAATTTAAGATTTGGTGTTGTTACTTGTTAGCATAAAATTCTCAAAGATATAAAAATTCATCTCTGAACATTAATGTAAATAATACAAATATAATAATCAAAAAGAACGAGATTAACGCACTTGACCTTTATGATTGCAGACAATAGAACGTATCACTTTCAAGCGGAAGACGAAGCAGATCAGCGAGCGTGGATGTCTGTTTTGGTAAACTGCAAGGAACGTGCTTTGCTTCGAGCATTTGATGCCAGCGGCAAAGCAGAAGCTGGCACAGGCAATCCAAGTTTAGTCGAACTTCAACAAGCTGTAATACGATGTGTCATGAGGTTACCTGGAAACGATCAATGCTGCGATTGCTCTTCGCAAAATGGTAAATTTGGGGTCATGTTTCGAATATTAAACGTTGGTACTGTTAGGTGTGTATTTCCTTCTTGTTTTCTTCTTATCCGTATTGGATCTTTTACTTTAAAGTATTAGTACTCCCGCAGAATGTCGAAACAAATATCCAAAAACTACTAACACGTGGAAAAGTTTTATGTATAATATCACAAATAAATTTTAGATATAAACATGCCTAAAAATAATTGGTTTTTCTTTTTGATAGATGCTACATGGCTCTCTACAAATTTTGGCATAATCGTGTGCATAGAGTGCAGTGGAATTCATCGAGATTTAGGAGTACACATATCCAGAATACAGTCCTTAACACTAGATAATGTGGGCACTGCTCAGTTGCTTCTTGCACGGCATATGACTAATCAAGCGTTTAACGAAGTGATGGAAGCTACATTGCATCACAATCACAAACCAACACCGACTTCGACGATGTATGTATGCACTGAAATTACTTAAGTTTATATAAATTAATATTTTATTTAAATTCTTTACTCTATAATTTATTCGTGATTACATATGTTTTATTTGTATAATTTAGGGAAGAAAGATACGAATTTATAAGAGCTAAATACGTGGATAAAAGATACGTGATGAACACTTGCGCAGATGAACGGGATCTTCTTTCTGATTTAGAACATGCCGTTAATAATCGTGATCTGCAACAACTTCTACAAGTTTATGCTGAAAGTGTAGACTTAGCAGCACCCTTGCCTACATCGGTATGATTTTGTAATGGAAATTATAATACAGTATAAGAAATACAGGATCATTAATTTATAATTGATTATAAGGCTCGTTTATTTCGCAAATCATAATGAATATAGTCTGATATACAGAAATCTGCTCTAGATTTTTTCTCAAATTATAATAATTTAGAAAAGTTATGACTTAATAAAAATATTCTGTTTTCTTTTAGGATGTGGGCGAAACAGCTTTGCATTTAGCAATTTTACGCGAGATGGGAAACAGTTTGCATATTATAGATTTCCTGGTACAGAATATGTCAACGGGTGGTATAGATAGGACTACCATTGACGGTGAAACGGCATTACATCTTTGTGCAAGGCATGATAGAGCAGAGGCAATGAAACTATTATTACGAGCAGGCGCTGACCCAACACATCGGAATAAGCAGGATAAAACTCCGCTAGATATTGCACAGGAAATGGGACACCATACTTGTAAAGAACTGGTAAAGCATCATACAGTTATCATCTAATTTGTATAACAATACCATGCTGTTACACGCAATAACAGTTAACTGTTTCATTGTCTTTTGTTTTAGTTAAGTCATGCCCTACAAAGACAAAAGACATTGTTCGATAATGTTAATATTGATTGGAATCTCTCACATGACGAAGGATCTACCGATTTTTCTGATGATGAAACCATAATAGAAGATAGGGTATGTTTAAGTAATAATAAGAATAAGTACTGAAATTATTTTCTTTAACGATTCATATTTGTTTTATTTCAGAATGGCTGTTTAACACCTGAGAAGAAATCTCGTAGTAGGCCACCATCTTATGTGGGTGGTGGTAGTAGCGGTGGTGGTACCGGGTCAGGAGATTCACCAGTGACTTTACGTAGTCGAAGTAGTACTTGTGACAGCCTGCAAAGTGGCTCTTCTCCAAGTTCCTCAACAAATAGGCAGCAAATGCCTCCACCACCACCGCCTCAATCAAGAAAACCTGTTGCTGGTATGATATTCTATTAATATCATTGAATACTATGCAAATAAATAACAATAGTAAAATGAACTACACGTTTATTTGCAAATTATACATTAATATTCTATTACTGTTTTTAGTACCTGCTCCCATGGCGCCAGATATTTCGGTCAATATCCACGGATCATTGAAGAAGCGCGTAGCACCACCACCACCACCGGCTGGAAGTACAGGTGGTATACCTTCCTCTCATTACGGTACACTACCTTCGTCCGCGTCCTTAGCAGCGTCAACGCATAGCCGTACAACGAGCGAACCGATCTTAGCTGGGCATTCTTTACATACTCTACCACATGCGTTAAATACATTAAACAGTCAACACCATAAAAGATCGCCCAGTGGAGATTCTTCAACGGGACACGGTGCGTTTGAAAATTCACGCAAACTGCTCTACGAACTGCCGTTTAGTTCGGGTAAATTTAGAACCTTCCACTCATTTTTGTTCTCGAAATTTATTCGATTCTGTCTGTTGTCATTAGGTACGGACAAAGTAAATAGCTCGACTCTCCAGAGACCAAGGAATCCCCCGCCTCCAGCTCCATCTGGTATCAATTCTTCGAGATTGAGCAATGGACGTAGCAGCGAGTCGTTAAGTTCTATGTGTTCGGATCATGGTTTGGGTAATCCGGTACCGCCTCCGCGCAAGGTAAGTCACCTTTCCTTCATTTAGTTCTATGGACATTTATATACGAAAATAATAGGGTGACGGTTTTTTAAAGATAAAGGAAGTATAAAATCGAATCAAAGAAATCGAGGAATAACCTGTTTTTTTTGTATTATTTTCAACTATGTATTGCGAATCCGTTGAAATATTATTTCACGCTAAGGCGAATGATGTTTTATTTGTATTTTATTTGGCGCATATCAGGCATCGATGCCGGTAGATATCTAACATCTCCTTTTAACGCCATGTGTATGTATATACATCCATTCAAACGTGATAATCGTTCATTTTAACGTATCATACTAATTATGAAGATATTATTAACACAGTGTTACACCTATCACTGTTCCTATGTAGTATTTAACAAATAGCTTCTCCTCGAGTCTCGTTTTCAAAAACTTTTGGTATTGTGCATATCATACTAACCACACGTGTTCACCCATGATTTACAATTAGTATTCTTATTTATACATATATATATCCATCGTTCACGAATCACACGTTCACTACACTTCGTCGATGTCGAAGCTTTGTAACGACACAATACATATTCGTTCCTATGTTGCATAAATCATTAATCATTAAGTCACATCATTTATAAAAATAACCAGAACAAAATAATTCAAATTACAATATAATGAATACTAATCCTATCAACAAATATTGCTAAATTGGATGTCGCCATATAAAAATATAGCATATCTTTTATGAGACAAAGGAAAATTATTTAAAAAATTAAAAATTATATTAAATAATATTTAGTCTCATTAGAAAAATCAGTAAATGACAGTTAGTATAACAAGTAAAACTTTCTTTGCCAAAGTGTTTTAAAAATTAAACAAAGAAGTTATCTTCCACATTTTTTAAAAACATATTGAATTGGTAATTAGACACTGCATGTATCTCAAAGACAGTGCTTTATGGTTTGTTATTAACCATTGTTGGTACAGCGAAGGGACCGGGCCAGGCTAGAGAGCTACGCCGAGGAGCCTTCATCTTTGCTCCCAAATCTGAATCTGGTAAACATCAGCCATCCCACATTACAGCTTGCTACACTTGAAATGTCTTTTGCCATACCAATATACAACACTCACATGTTGTCAAAAACTAGTACAAAAAAGAACTTGCATTTACAGTGTTTAATTATAGCAATCAATAGCTGAAAATCAGCATTCTCAAAAATATAGTTTGTTATTTTTATCATTTTTTTTTGCATATGTCATTGAGTAGTTTCCTTTATTTACACAAATCCATTTAAATATCTAAATTATGTTAGTTACCTTCATAATATTATTAATAAACATAAAGAAAACTTATTTTATTCATTGACTTAATTGTAGTATGAGAATGTATATATTGAAGCATTGATTGTTAAATTCTTTGCTCAAAGTTATTTGATTAAAGTAATCAGCTTAGTGTCAGAAATTTAATCCATTCTGATTGAAATTATAAAAATAATAAAACAAATGTGTTGCGTCATTGGACGTTTTTTTCAAGTGTAGTAACAGTTTGCATGATCAGTCGTGCTGTCCGTAACCATCGTTCTTCCATGTCAATGCTATGAATATAATTTCTACAGTCGTAACATTTCTTATTTTTCGTTCAAATTCATCAAATTTTCCTCGTGATAACACCTACGTGGCTTCAACAGTTTTGTTCACTTTCTAGTCGAAATTATCTAAATTCCTAAATTTCTACTTTACGATTCTAACCTCTTCGGATGAAATGATTAATTAGGACGATATTAATGCGGGTTATTGACGTGGTTTTGCCAACAAATATTCATGCTTTCCCAATCCTAACTGTGAATGTAATATTTTAATTAATCAAAATGTGTCGTGTTCTACGATTGTATATGCTTTGAAACCTAATTTTCGCATGAGTCCGCCTCAAATTAATGTTTGATAATAGCACTTAAATGCACTGAACCCCTCAAATCATTCTGACATAGTAAACTTATAAAGTGGATGAAGTTAGTGGCAAGGCTAATAATTAACATCTTGGATAATATAGAAACGAAGTATAGTAATAGACTGCCATATACTTTAAAAAAATGAAAATACAACGCTAAAAAGTACAAAAAATTTGTCTGTTTATAAATATTGTTCATTTTCAAATATATTGCAGAAATCAATATTTTGACATCAACTTTTTCCTTTACATATGTGTACATATGTATAATATATGATCTGCTTCAGTTTTCAAAATATTTACAAAAAACTTTTGATACTGTTAGATTGAACTTTGCATACATGTACGTATATATGTATATATGCTCCCAGTAGCACAGTATATAAATTTGGTTACTAGTGACGTGATGTGTTTATAAAAACAATAGACAAGTGATGATTCCATGTTTATGCAATTGCCACATGTATGTACACATAAATAAAATTTAATGTAATAGCATCGAAAGTTTCCTGTAAATATCTCAAAGACTGAAGTTAATGTCGAACTAAAAAGAAAAATTAATGTTTTAGATACAAATATATATTCTGAAAAATATATTATATTAGAAAAAAATAGAATTGTTTTATCTCTGTTAGTTTGACAAATATTAATTTATATTTTTTATATTTATAATTGAATATTAATTACAAATGTTAATATCCAAAAAATTATTTTAAACATTTCTGATTAGCCATGCCATTTACCGCTCTGTTTGTTATTGAAGATCTTATTAATAGCTTAAATCTGAAAACTGAAAATTATTTATAACAGGCATGAAATTAATATATACCATTGGAAATTCTAGTTCATTAAATACAAAGTACATTGGTAAAAATGCATTAATAAAAAGTAAAAAATAAATCATAGAAATAAAAATTAAAGTTAGTAACACCATATTTCATTTTTTTTAACAAATTGAATAGTGCATAATTTTCTTTTTTAACTAACTATCATAATTAAAAATTTATTTATGACAATTAATATATATATATTTAACAATTACTCCTGAATGAAAACATAAATAAATAAGTATATAATATATTATTTATATTATGCATAATTTTTTTATAAAAATGGTATATTCTTCTTAAATTTATAAACAAACATATCACAACACATTGCGTACGGCTACAAAATATGTATCCTGCTTTTCTTTTTTTTTCATTTTATTAAATGCTAATTTGCTTGCTAAATTTCAGATATTTCATTAATATAATACAGCTTATATCTTGCAACAGAAATTCCAGCAAAGGAATCGTGAAATGTACTTGCTAACTGCCTGCTAAAATTTAAGATAGTTTCAGTTAATTGTAATGCAGCTTCAGTACATTGCAACAAAAGATTTCAAACCAAATGCATGTCAAAATGCAAAAAAAAAAATGTAGACAAGATTGGTGATTAGTAAAAGTAGATTGTAAAAAGTCAGCTTCATTATATAATTTATGATTCACTTCATATTATTATTTAAATCTCATTATTCCTCTATTTCTGAATAAATAGCCTTTATATTAATATCTTTATGTTGTTATCTGAATAGTTATATTAAACATAAAAAAATATTTTAATTTCTCAGTATAATGATCTGTTTAAATGTATCAATAAAAGAAATTGTTTTTATAGGTATGAACATTGACAAACAAATAAAATGTTTGGTAAAATGAAACAAAGAAAATGGAAACATCAGTTAGGCCACCAATTTCATTAATTCTGTTTATGAATTTGAAATAAACGTGAAGGGGCATGTATTTTGATAACATCATATTAACCATATATTTATATTTATTTATAAAAATATTTGTTATAAAATCTTAAATTGATTAAGCATTGTAATAATAAAATATGTGGATACAATAATCACGTGAGCTGTTATATATTAATTACAATAAAACTTTATAAAGAATTAAATAATATTTGTGTGATATTAACAGTTGTTGTAGATATTCGTTAATTTGTAAAATAAGTACAAGAAATAATTATATATTTCATATTAGAATTAAAAATACCTCTAATTTTTATTCAATCATAATTTACAGAAATATTAGAAATATTTCTTATTTATAAAAGATATATTTCTTTGTAATTATATCCACAATTTATATAATTATTTTGTTTTATTTCTCTGTCAAATGATATTTATTAATACAATGTATTAATACAATTACTGCCATTATATTATTAGTAATAAACATTCTATTTAATATAAGGAAATACAAGGTTAGAATTTTTTAAATATAAAATAAATATAAAAATGTGTAACTTTTAGTCTCAAATTCCATTTAATTATCGAGTATCTACACAAACAAAAGCCTTATTTCTTATCTATCTGCAGAAGAGGAGATAGAAATAATTCAAACAAAATGCTGTACGCAATGTGTAAATGTACCATTACAGATTCTTTAAAAATTATTTATTTCCATGCATGTCATCCACTACGATTATAAGGAAAAAGAAAAGAAAGAAAAATGAACCGAAGCAATTAGGAAAGAATAATGTTTATCTAAACGTGCACGATTTACATATAGTCTTGAAAAAGATCTGTTCTCCTTTCTTTCCCATTTCTAGAATTTCCAATTCAGCTGTCCTTGCGATTTAAGGAAGCATTCTTCGTATTGCCCTCAATTCGACTCGTGATCAATGCTGTCACGAGTTCGTTAAAGAGTGCTTGCTTCGTCTGTGGAAAATAAAAAAAAAATAAATAAATAAAAATGGGCATTTGATGTCTCATTTGTCCATGAAGTTAACCATTTTATGGCTAACCATCATCTTCATCGATCTCCTTTTAGCCAACTTCGTCGACCCTCAGCGGTCTACGACGGTGTCGAGCCTTGTACGATTGCGAAGCGGACAACGAGGACGAATTATCGTTTAGAGAAGGCGAGGTGATCATCGTGACAAACGAACAGACTGATGACGACAACTGGATGGAGGGTGCCCTCGAACGAGCACCTGAAAGGAGGGGAATGTTCCCAATCAGTTTCGTGCACATGCTGCAAGATTAACATTCGGTAAGCTTGAACTCGTTGGCAAGTGTCTCCAGTACTGCCAGCTCCGTGAGCATCGCTAGTCTTGGCAGAAAGTCTTGGATGAGGAAATCAAAGGATTGAAAATGTAGAAGCGTTTGTTTTACAATCCTTAAAAAGTCGTGAATATCGCAAGTCCCTTCTCATGTTACCTTCTCTATATGTTTCATCAAGACACTTATAGGCCTTGAAATTTTGTACATGAGGCTTTGTTGTTCTCCGTAGTTCGAACCGAACATGCGCAATAAATTCATTTGATTTGTTGCACATAAGCACGTAATGAAGAAGGTTCATTATCCTAAATGCATTTCTATGCGAGCTAGGCACAGACGTCCCCGTATGTGCACTATCGACACAAATAATAGTAATAATATTAACAATACTTCACTCAAATGTAGAAACGTGCACAGAAAGATAAACTTTCTCTGCCACATATTTGAATTAGTGTAAAATGAAATAAATGAACCAACTCTATTGCTTGGTTCCATTGGAATAGATTAATTTGTTGAACATGTACTGTTTCTGATTCAGTTTTAGAAATTAGAAGGAATTTGAAACAGTTTCTTAGCTTATAGAAGACAATCAACTTAAAATAACTTCATAAAGATATTTTTTTGATTTTCTAAGATGAAGATTTTTACTTACATTTGAATAATGTAAATCAGAAAAATAGTCATTAGAGTTGTTTTTCAAAAATGCTTGTTTAGATCTAAGAGGAAAATTCAATCTGTGGACTCGCATATAGAAAAAACATTGTCTAATTATAAAAGAAGTAAATTGAGATAGTGAAGTTTGTCTTTGAGAGTGATTTAGAAACATCATAGAGAAGAGTAGCCACTATAACTTGAACAAAATTAATTGGCTTCTGAAAACCACTAAGAGACAACCCCTGCCATTTAGGTATTATGCAACTCAACTCAGGAAACATAACCTGCAAGCATTTATTCCATTTTGATCATGTCAGATTTCCAAAATAGTCAAAATATATATTGAAAATTATTTTATAAAATCAAATGCTCTAAAATAAAAGCTTATGCAAAATTGAAGTTGTGAAAAATAAAATTTCATATAAAGAAAGTTGATATGGTGAAAGTTTATGCTAGTAATATAATTAAATTAAGGTATGTATTTAATGTAATTATGATAAGGGTGATATATTGGAATAAAATTATAATTGGTATATATAGAAAGAAAAATATATTAGAGTTCTATTCTTTTTTAATAATTGTATCGCCATTTGCTTAAAGAAGAGCTTAGAAAGCCAATTAATATTGTTCAAACTATAGAAGTACTTGGATGTGCTATACCTAGACGTGCCTACTCGAGTCGGATACTTAAACGTGAAGATAATGTCTTACAATCCTACAATCCAAAAACACAAAAAATTTCGATAAAAACTCATTCACTGTCAGGAGAACAGAAATGTACATATACAATGTACACCGATTGTTTCGAGCAGGACGTCGAAATCGAAGACTGGATCGATTCGCGGTTCTGAAAACCAGCGGTAAACAAACAGAAAATGTGATATAAGATATATTTCAGTATAAATAATTAGTATTACGAATCGGATTTAACAAATAAAAAGTGGTACGCTAATAAATGGGCGTCATCGTGCGTGTTTGTGGTTATAAAGCAGGCGTTGCAATCGAGGCGAAACTATCGTGAATTATGATAATTCATTTGTTGACGGATTACAGTTACGCGGATACTGGTTTATCTTGCTGCTAACTATCGATTGTACTACATGAAACAGCAAGTATCCAATCGAAATAATAATAAAGTTCAGCAAACGTGCACAATTTCGTGTGTAAGAGACAAACGTGAAAGAAAAAAAAAACAAGTGAATGTGTGCATGCGTGCATGTGTGTATGCGTGTAATTATGTGAGAAGCAAGAGAAAGAAAAGAATACAGAATCCAGTCTGTAATTTGTTGCATGTCTCTTAAGTATCTGGCGCACACTTCTTTTCCGTACTGCCAATGCTGAGTATACTCTATATACAGTCGCGTTCTAGGTGAATAAAGTAAAAAGTTATCCATGAAAACGATTTCTATGGTGAATGAAATAGACGCAACGAATGGCGTCGATCGCTATAAAATATATAAGGTAAATGTAGAATGTCGAAAAGAAGTCCTTCGTAAGAAAAGGAATAATGTGACATTAAAATATTGCATGACACCGATAGTATTATTAGCGTATTCGACTCTTAAGGATCACGTGGTTACGAGCGTATGTACATTTTTGTAATGCCATACTATTTGTTAGTAAATATATATAATTATATATATATATACATATACACGTATATGTATATATGTATATACGTATATACATATTGTGAAATAGAATTATGAAATTAGAGATTTATTAGTCATTAAGTATATATATATAAAATGAGAAGAAAAGAAGAGAGTATAAAAGAAGACAGAGTAGTAGAGCTATGCATGTGTTGCGATTGAACTGAGATTTATGCGCCGAAAGCGAATTGAAATTTTTATTTGTTATATTTTTACTTAAAAAACATACACACACACACATACACATACATATAGACACACACGAGACCAAAGAAAACGTTTTCGTGAGCGAGAAGGAAATCGTGGACGCCATCTAGCTCAATTTCTGTAAATGGGACTGTAATTTTTCTTCTTAGTGATCGTCAATTTTTACTATTCGCTTTATTTCTAAAGCTGAACTATGTGCTCGTTGTTCATTTTGTTTCTTTTTTCTCTCTTTGTATTTAAAATGTTTAACCGGAGAACGTCACCAAATAAATAAATAAATATATATATATAATTATACACACATATTATGTGAACAATGTGCTACTTACGTATTCTGTACTCGTATCGTTTAATCCAAATGCAAGAGAACTACGAAAGAAACCGCAAAGTATGAAATCAACGGTGGATAATGGACTGTGTCCACTACCTAGTCGAAATCGGGATAGAGTTTATATCTTTTTTCTTTTTTTTTTTGTTAACATCACCGAGATTCTACTTTGTATTGAGTTGAACATTCAAATTTGAATGTAATACATGTGATTGTACACAGCTGTAATTATTTCACAAATTATTTTTAATTATAATAATTAATATATAACATGTTCATTTTACGTATAAAGAACGTAGTAATACAAAAACAATTTTCGTTTTTTTCTTTCCATAAGAACTTTCAAACGTATATTTTTTCAATGAGTTAAATTTATTATTGATATTTGAATGAAAAAATGAAATCAACTCTATGCAAAGTAATACTAAAATAATTCGTTATTTTTTATATAAATTATTTTAGATAATTACTTTAAAAACTTTATGCAAGAATTAAAACAATTGTTATAAAAGCATGACAATAAGATACAAAATTAAATTAACCTTAAAGTTATTGTCAAAATGGAAAAATATGTTATTCAAAAATTTAGTTAATTAAACCTCATCCGAGAAATACAACATTTAAGTTAATAACTTATTACTTCAAACGTTTTTCTTTGTTATTGTAAACTACAAATAATGTAGTGTTCACAACAATATTATTTTTCACATCTAATCACACTAGGCTCGCAACGTTTTACTGTTTTATTTGATCAAAATAAGCTAAGCTTTCACATAAACAGCTTCTGTTAAATGTAATATTAATGTGTCGATTACGTTATTGTGAGAGTATTACACATGGAAATGACGATCAACACATTTTTGATGAATTTGTGTAACTTTCAAGAAACACACTGTACTTCTTCACTTTTTCCAATCACTGTATATATATTCAATGTATTGATCAAGATAGAGTAATAAATGTTCTTCATTTAAGAATCTGACAGGTGACATTAAACAACACTTGTTAAATGAAAAATTCATTTGTCAATAAAACTTCATTCCATAGATTCATTTGTCAGAATCGTGCGTTTACATCAATAATACTCTCCAAAAACATGCACTTTCGACAAAGAAAATAAAGATTGAAAAACAGGGTTAGAAGCAACAAATTCAAATCACGTCGCTGTGTAACGCCAATCTATAATAAAGGAACAAAAAAAAGAAGTAAGAAAATCGATCTAATCTATTTAGCATTAAGCTGCCTTTAACTTTGTTTACAATATCCTCGCAATCTTTGATGCGTCCAATCGCGATGTGTCTTGTTCGTTGACGCTAAAAGAATGCAGAGGATTGTATCGTTGGTCAATGTACATATGTGTATAGAGTAAATGAGCGGATGAGGAATGAAAGAGTCGATGTTTATACTATTAAGCATACGATAAACGATAACGTAATGTCTTAAGCATGTATCATATGAATATATTTAATGAAAAACGTCGATAGCTGGTGAATGACTCCTGTTCCTTGCATGAAACTTCTGTTGTGAATTGTATACTACGATTAATATTAAGAAAAATGTTTAATTTAAGACAAAAACATGTACGGTTAACTATATGATTTAGTATATTGCACTATATTATAAATGGCAGGTTTTAATGATCTGAGTGTAAAGAAGTATGGTCAGAGCTAGCTGCCAAAAAGTATATAAAATGTTCTGCTTTTTATTTATGGTACGAGTAGTAAAGTTAAAAGATTTAAACATCTACTTAATTTTTTAATATAATTATGTCTGCTTTAAATTATAACAAATGTATTCTTTTATATAATGACATATGACATTGAACTTTCTGTTGCATTTTATTAATTCCATGATAATTGTAATAATGATTTGATTTATGAATAGCAAGAATCTTTATGAAGTGAAATGACTACATAAATATGAACATGAGATTCCTTTAATAGAAAAATGCTCTATGTAAATCAACTTACAGAAATTTCTTATTTGAAATATAATTATTTGCAGATTTAATATAAAGAAAAGTAACTACAGAATATAAAGTAACTACAGAATATATCAAACAAAAAAGTTATATATCTAAATATTTTGTCAACACATTTTGATAAATTTCTTAGCAGAGATTTATCACATAGCTTAGCTGATATTTTAATACATTTTAATGTTTTGAATAAAAATATAATAAAACATTATAGTGCTAATATCTTTCTGATATAAAAATTTTCAAAAGAAGTATTAAAATATAAATAGAAAGAAAAAAAGACAGAAGAATACATTATTTGTTGTAAACAATTTTTTATATAAATTATGCTTGAAATAAAATGTTACTTTTTTTTAGGTTTTATACTTTATTATAACATGCCTTTAAACAAAAATTCTTGTAGAGTAAATGTGTTCACAAACTGATAAAACTATTTATAAAGTCATTCAAAATTACATGCAGGAAATTTCATTCTTCACATGTAATAAATCAAATATGTATTACTCATTACTACAAACTGCATAACTAAAATACTAACTTACCATTTCATTATAATAATCATTACATTATTAATATAATAAAACTGTATTGGTCCAGTCTTCG